AGTTTCGCTCTTGTTGCCCACGCTGGAGTGCAATGGCATGGCAGACCACAACCTGCTCCTCCCAGATTCAAGGGATTCTCCTGCCTCAGCCTCCTAAGTAGCTGGGATTACAGCCACCTGCCACCACGCCCAGCTTATTTTTGTATTTTTAGTAGAAATGGGGTTTCTCCAAGTTGGTCAGGCTGGTCTTGAACCCCGAACTCAGGTGATCCACCTGCCTCGACCTCCCAAAGTGCTGGGATTACACGTGTGAGCCACTGTACTCAACCTGAAAATTACCCTCAAATCAGAAGACCATTTCTCTCACTAAAATTATATATATATATATATATGCATATTCATAGTTACACATATGGCAAAAAGAAGATTATCTCGGCCGGGCGCGGTGGCTCAAGCCTGTAATCCCAGCACTTTGGGAGACTGAGGCGGGTGGATCACGAGGTCAAGAGATCGAGACCATCCTGGTCAACATGGTGAAACCCCGTCTCTACCAAAAATACAAAAAATTAGCTGGGCATGGTAGCGCGTGCCTGTAATCCCAGCTACTCAGGAGGCTGAGGCAGGAGAATTGCCTGAACCCAGGAGGCAGAGGTTGCGGTGAGCCGAGATCGCGCCATTGCACTCCAGCCTGGGTAACAAGAGCGAAACTCCCTCTCATAAAAAAAAAAATAAAAAAAAAAAAAAAAAAAAAAAAAAAAAAAAAAAAGACTATCTCCATGACTACCATCCATCAAAAATCAGCTAAGAAAGAATATAAGTTAAGCCATGTCCAAAATTCGGGTCATATTTACAGAGAAACACACATACATATATAATCTGATTATGACGTGCATGCATAATTCATTGCTTAATTAAACCTCAAATTGACTTAAAGTGTACAAACAGAATTGCAAATTGTCTGAAAACAGAATTCTTAAGTAAAACCAATAGACACAATAAACTGAGACTAGGAATCCTACACTGAGGCCAGGTGCAGAGGCTCAAACCTGTAATCCTAACACTTTGGGAGGCTGAAGTGGGCAAATTACCTGAGATCAGGAGTTCAAGACAAGCCTGGCCAACGTGGTAAAACACCGTTTTTACTAAAAATACAAAAATTGGTCGGCATGGTGGCTCATGTCTGTAATCCCAGCTACTTGGGAGGCTAAGTCATGAGAATTTCTTTAACCCAGGGAGAGGAGGTTGCAGTCAGCCAAGATTGCACCACTGTATTCCATCCAGCCTGGGTGACAGAGGGTCACTCCATCTCAGAAAAATTTTTTAAATTGTGTAGGTAACTGCAGTAATTAACTTTTACTCTGTACTCATCAATTACAGTTATTTCGAATGATTGGCATGCACCGTGTGGCACTAAAATTTTAGAGAATATTAAGTATAGGCCAGGCATGGTGGCCCATGCTTGTAATCCCAACACTTCGGGAGGCTGAGGTGGGCTGATCACCTAAGGTCAGCAGGTCGAGACCAACCTGGCCAACATGGTGAAACACCGTCTCTAAAAAACAAATAAATAAACAAACAAATAGAATACGAAGTATAATGACAAATATCAGATTCTAATGAGAAACTTTTAATAAGTACGCATTTAACAAAAAGTTACTTTTTATGTTTTACATATATGCTATTCTTACACAAAGTGAAACTGCTATAATCCAACGTTAGAAACAAAGAATAGCCTTACATTGTTAAATACAGAAAATATGTGTAAATATTTTACAGAACAGAGTTATACACTCTCTTATGTAAAAAATGTATTAAGAAATAAACTACGTTATTATTTAGATACAGGCTGAAGAAAGTAGAAGAAAATCCCGTATTTCTTTTTGCCTGCAGCAAACTTAAAAATATAAGTAACCATTTTAGTAAATATGGAGTGCCTAACTATCGCATTTTCTTCAGGCATACCATGCACATTCTAGAATATTGTCCTAAACATCTGAATCTAAAATTACAGACATATATGAAACAGAAGGCTGGGTGAGGTGGCTCACGTCTGTAATCACAGCACTTTGAGAGGCTGAGGCGGGCGAATCACGAGGTCCAGAGTTTAAGACCAGTCAGGCCAACAGAGAGAAACCTCGTCTCTACTAAAAATACAAAACTTAGCCAGGCGTGATGGCATGTGCCTGTATTCCTAGCTACTCTGGAGACTGAGGCAGGAGAATTGCTTCAACCCGGGAGGCAAAGGTTCCAGTGAGACGAGATCCAGCCACTGCACTACAGCTGGGGTTACAAGAGCGAAACTCCCTCTGGGTATTAAAAAAAAAAAAAAAAAAAAAAAGGAAATAGACACCACAAAGTAAAACTGTATCAGGAAAGTGGCATCAGTAAAATAAAAACACTGAAAGTACCCTATTTTCATATCCCGTTACAGCAAAAACAAAATGTCAGCCATCCCTGAAAAAAACTCTTTATGACAAGAACAGGCATTATGGCTCAAACCTGTAACGACAGCTACATGGCACATTACGGCTGGAGACCTGCTTCGTGCCTGGATATGAGACCAGGCTGGTTTATGTAGCAAGACGCCATCTCGAAAGTAAGTGCCTCTAAGAGAGATCTGATACCCAGGGAGGGAGTTGGGAAATGCTGTTAAAGCTTAAGATTAAGAAGTGTTCTACTCAGAAGGCAGGCGCTAATTCAGGGGGGAAACTACAGGACCCCTGTTGTTGGCTACAGACCAGGATAGGGTTCACCCAACTTGGTCCCAATGAAAATCTGAACTTCCTCTGTAACCATCCCAAACTCCTCCCAGCCACAGTCTGGGACAGGCCCTGCCATTCTAGAGACGTAAAACAAGACACCCATTTACAGTCACGTAGGCTTTCCTGCAGACCTCGGCCTTTACTGTAGTCTCTGAAGAGGTTCAATGACTCAGTTTCAGTTACGTGAGCCACAGTTTATGGTCACTTCTGCCTATATAGAAACTCACCTACCTTAGGAAATGCTTTTTGGTACTCAGTAAAAGTCATACTCATCCACACCCTGATACAAGGCCGACCATATGCTAATCCAACTGCCAAAACATGCCCTAGTGTCTGCCCAACAGAGCCAACTCCTGAAGGATATGCAGTCTGTCCAGAAATTAAATGGGAATTACAACTACCCAAGCCCCTGTAACAAGCCAACTAAAGGTGGATCCTAGTGCAGACCCAGCAGCCTTGTGACCAAGCTACAACCCCTCCCCACTACAAAGTCAGAGGGCATCTCAGCACCCTAAGGGCCCAACCAAAGAAGGTCTTTTTACCTTCTAAAATCAGTTTATAAAATCATGAAGAGGGGCTTGCTACATCAAATTCAAATACCAATACAAAACTATATTGTGCCCAGGGTTACTGCTTCTATTTTAATGGACCACTGCAAGTAGGTAGCAGAAGAATTAGTCAAAAAAATAAAAAAATCCACTGAAATTGAAGAAAAGTAAATTAAAAATTCCTGTTTGTAGATCACACAATCTTGTATAAAAAAACTATATTAAAACTGTACATTAGGCCGGGCGCAGTGGTTCAAGCTTGTAATCTCAGCACTTTGGGAGGCCGAGGCGGGCGGATCACGAGGTCGAGAGATCTAGACCATCCTGGTCAACATGGTGAAACCCCGTCTCTACTAAAAATACAAAAAATTAGCTGGGCATGGTGATGCGTGCCTGTAATCCCAGCTACTCAGGAGGCTGAGGCAGGAGAATTGCCTGAACCCAGGAGGCGGAGGTTGCGGTGAGCCGAGATTGCGCCATTGCACTCCAGCCTGGGTAACAAGAGCAAAACTCCGTCACACACACACAAAAAAACTGTACATTAGCAATATATAAAATCAACATACTCACACCTGTAATCCCAGCCCTTTGGGAGGCCGAGGCGGGTGGATCATGAGGTCAAGAGATCGAGACCATCCTAGCCAACATAGTGAAACCCCGTCTCTACTAAAAATACAAAAATTAGCTGGGAGTGGTGGTGTGTGCCTGTAGTCCCAGCTATGTGGGAGGCTGAGCCAGGAGAATTGCTTGAACCTGGGAGGAGGAGGTTGCAGTGAGCTGAGATTGTGCCACTGAACTCCAGCCTGACGCCTGGTGACAGAGTGAGGCTCTGTCTCAAAAAGAAATAAAAAATAAAAAAAATTAACATACAATTATACATATGGTTTCATACATATAAACTATCTGATAAAGGAAGAAAAAAATAGAAACAAAAAAGGAAGAAAAAATCTTAATTACTATAGCATTAAATAATAAATTTCTGAGAAAAAAAACGAGGGAAGTAAAAAACATTTACAATATAAATCAATGAAAAAATTAGAGAAGATCCAAATCAATTTTAAAATAGTTGGTGTCTACACATAGAAAGAATACATATTATTAACTCGCCATATTATTCAAAGTGACCTATATATTCAATAAACTTCCTATGAAAACTGCAGTATTTTTTTCATAGAAATCAAAAATATAATTCTAAAATTTACATGAAACTAAAATAAACTGAATAGCCAAAGCAATCCTGAGGAAAAAGTACAAAGCAGGATACCATACTTATCATTTCAAACCATGTTTCAACACTATACAGTAACAAAAACAGAATGGACTACACAGAACAATGAACAAAAAAATGCAACAGAAACTATTACTCTCACGCATTTCAGACCTAATGCAAAACAAGAACTTAAAAAATAGTTTTAGTTTCCAAAAATCATGCAGACATTTGTGTGTTCCCAAAATAATAAAACAACAGCCAGATTGTGCAGTCTCTTACACGCCATCAAGAGGACTTTCATTCTCACTGTAACCTTGAAGGAAGCTCACCAAAAGAAAAGTAGAATCTTTAAAGAATTTAAAAGCCTAGACAGAAAATGTCCCTTTCTCAGAGCCAAATTAAAGAAGAAAAAATCAGCTGCCCAGAAGTGTTTTCTTTAGCACACAGCTTCCCACATCACATTGCAAGGGCTGGCGTTCTCTTTGACCTTGGTACTTCTTAAGGGTGTCCTCTGTAGTATTCATTTTCACTGGAACCTACCTAGGGGTGTGGCAATCATCTCATGTCTCTTCACAGTCAAAGGTTTTCTTCCTTGCTCCAGCCAGGTGATCAGGTCTGGCTTAGAAACAGCAATACCTGTTTTATTTAAAAATAAATAAATCAGGCCGGGAGCGGTGGCTCAAGCCTGTAATCCCAGCACTTTGGGAGGCTGAGGTGGGTGGATCACGAGGTCAAGAGATCGAGACCATCCTGGTCAACATGCTGAAACCCCCGTCTCTACTAAAAATACAAAAAATTAGCTGGGCATGGTGGCACATGTCTGTAATCCCAGCTACTCAAGAGGCTGAGGCAGGAGAATTGCCTGAACCCAGGAGGCGGAGGTTGCAGTGAGCTGAGATTGCACCATTGCACTCCAGCCTGGGTAATGAGTGAAACTCTGTCTCAAAAATTAATTAAATAAATAAATAAATAAATCTGGCTCATATTCTCCACTTACAAGCTAGTAATGTGCTAAGAGGAAATGTTAGAAAATATTCTGCAAATACGAAAATACTAATTAACAGAAATTTCTAAATATTTAGAAAATACTTCGAAGTTGTAGCTGTCTTTTTTTTTTTTTTTTTTTGAGACAAAGTTTCACTCTTGTTACCCAGGTTGGAGTCCAAAGGAACAATCTCTGCCTCCTGGGTTGAAGCAATTCTCCTGCCTCAGCTTCCAAAGCATATATTATGCCACTTAATTGCTGAAACTACCACTAATTTAGAGTGAAAAATACAGCTCAACTCAAGACTTTGGAAAGTTTGGATTAAGATGAAATGTCTTAAAGAAATTCTTTTCACCGAGCGCGGTGGCTCCAGCCTGTAATCCCAGCACTTTGGGAGGCCGAGGCGGGTGGATCACGAGGTCAAGAGATCGAGACCATCCTGGTCAACATGGTGAAACCCCGTCTCTACTAAAAATACAAAAAAAGTAGCTGGGCGTGGTGGCACGTGCCTGTAATCCCAACTACTAAGGAGGCTGAGGCAGTAGAATTGCCTGAACCCAGGAGGTGGAGGTTGCAGTGAGCTGAGATTGCACCATTGCACTCCAGCCTGGGTGACAAGAGCGAAACTCCGTCTCAAAAAAAAAAAGAAAGAAAAGAAATTCTTTTCTAAGTGAACAAATTCTGAGGAGTTTCTGGAAAAAGGGCTTCTGAAACGCTTTTATGCAAAGAATTAATTACCAAAAAACATTCTACAAAAAAAGAGATAGAAAACATTTAGGGTCTATTATGAATTAAGTATTCAAGTTAACATTACCAAGGAAGACCAGGTTTCTGTAGTTCTCCAACATCACATCCCTATACAGATTCCGCTGTGCAGCGTCCAGGCAATGCCACTCCTCCGGAGAGAATTCTATGGCCACATCCATAAATTCCAATGGTCCCTGAAAAACACACAAACACACACACACACACTTTTACAAAGTAGCAATAGGTGAAGTTTTAATTTGACATAAGGCAAAAATAGATGAACAGATGCTTTTTCAACAGAAGACATAGATGTGGATAAAAATCATGTAAAGAAAATGGTCAATGCTCATCATTGGAGAATTAAAAAAAAAAACCACAATGAGATACCACCTCAAAGTAGTCAGAATGACTATTTGTAAAAAGTCAAAAACTAACAGATGCTGGCAAGGTTGCAGAGAAGAAAGAATGCTTATAATCTATTGATGGGAAATAAATTAGTTCAAGAATTGTAAAAAAGCAATGTGGTATGCTGGACGCTGTGGCTCACACCTGTAATCCCAAAACTTTAGGAGGCAGAGACGGGCAGATCCCCTGAGGTCAGGAGTTTATTTATTTTTATTAATTTATTTATTTTCGGGTGTGCTGGGGGCGGGGCGGGGGCCGGTGTATCCTCTGTACCTAGTTGTGCCCCTGGCGCCGCCCGGTCATCGCGCAGGTCGCTGGCGCCATGAAGATCTGGACATCGGAGCACGTCTTTGACCACCCATGGGAAACTGTTACAACAGCTGCAATGCAGAAATACCCAAACCCTATGAACCCAAGTGTGGTTGGAGTTGATGTGTTGGACAGACATATAGATCCCTCTGGAAAGTTGCACAGCCACAGACTTCTCAGCACAGAGTGGGGACTGCCTTCCATCGTGAAGTCTCTTATTGGTGCAGCAAGAACAAAAACGTATGTGCAAGAACATTCTGTAGTTGATCCTGTACAGAAAACAATGGAACTTAAATCTACTAATATTTCATTTACAAATATGGTTTCAATAGATGAGAGACTTATATACAAACCACATCCTCAGGACCCAGAAAAAACTGTTTTGACTCAAGAAGCTATAATCACTGTGAAAGGAGTTAGCCTCAGCAGTTACCTTGAAGGATTGATGGCAAGTATGATATCCTCCAATGCTAGTAAAGGCCGAGAAGCAATGGAATGGGTAATACACAAATTAAATGCTGAGATTGAAGAACTTACAGCCTCAGCAAGAGGAAGCATACGGACTCCAATGGCTGCAGCAGCATTTGCAGAGAAGTGATAGTGAAAGTTGGTAGGCAACGTCGGGTACTCCAGTTCTCTCCAAGCTGACTATGTATTTATTTGTTATTTAAAAAATTCAACTATATTTTAGGTAATTTTTTTTTAAGTTGGTATAAGGCTATGACTTGATCAAAACAGATGCAGGGCCTGTAAATAAAAGGAATCATCTGAAATTAATGTTGTTTGAAATTAACTGTCTCATTTTGAGGGTTCCAGTATTTCTGTGAAAATTCAACAAGAATTCCTTGGAAATGAGTATTGATATTGAATCTTCTTAAGGTAGGATTTTCAAGTTTTTCATACACTGGAACTCCACGTGACTTTGGACCAACCCCAGAACAAAGCAGAGCCCAGTGCCCTGCCTACTGTACACTTGAACAGCTTGCACAAGGGAACTCACCTAAAAGGAGAAATTGTGTAGTTTTAAAATATATTTTGTGTAAAATAACTTGCTCTGCTATAAACCACCATTAAAAACCAATGTTTTGATTTGGTACTTAATATTTTTGGAGTGAAAATTATCACTAAAGTAACATGACTCCAACAGAAGTATGGTTTCATTATATTAAAGAGTACTGTATTGATTTGCCAAAGTTTTGTAACTTAGTAAAGGTATTAACTTCCTTGGATTTGTACTTTATGATTTAGTATGCTGTACCGTGGGCTGGTTATGTTAACTGAAAAAAATAAAGTCATTACCTGAGTTTTGCAGCACTCTAACTTAAACAGAAGAACGGCTGTTCACATCTTTTAGCATTTCACATTTGCCTAACTTAAAAATTGCCATGTGTCAAAATAATGGTTTTGTAATTGCTAAGGCAAGATATGTCAGGTTATTTGAATATAATTACTTTTTGAAGTAATTGTGACCACAAAACATTTTTTTTACATTAAGGAGCTGTACATCATTTGAAATTACTCAAGTGATGTCTTCCTCTGAAGCATAAACCCCAGGTACTGAATGTTTTTAATAATATGGTGCCACTGCAGGATTTGGGGTGGTGGGAAGGAACAAGGATAATGGTGGCGGGGAGGCTTGGCCTGAAAGTAACCAATGAGTGAATTGCACTGCAGCTTTTACTGATGGGAATTGTCAGAGGGCAGCTTGCAAACTGAAAGTCCAATAAATGTACTTTGTTTTATATTTTGTAGCAGCCAATTAGTAACCACTAAATAATAGCTTTGACATTTGCAGTTGTTGCATAGAGAGTATTTTTGCTACAAGATGATTAGCTCTTGCCTTTATTTTACAGTGCTTAGCATGATAAACTTCTAGTCATGTTTCCTATCAGAGAGACCAGTTATGTACATAACCACAGAAATAGTATAATCAAACTATTTTTAAATTCTCGTTTTCCTACATAAAAATTGTATAGCTTAATACTTTTTAGGACATTTGTAAAAGCAGATTAAATTTAATAAGGTTTCTGATTTTTTTGTAACCGGATATAGTTTTTACAAGTGAAATAACATTTCAGCTAAATACCACTAAATTGATATTTGATGAAAATCTGCCTTGTATAATTTCTGCAAATTATACTTGTTCTGAAAAAGGTGTCATGCCCTAATAAGAGATTTTTACATCCTTATCCTTTGATTTTTTTAAACGCTGATCTAATTATAAAACTATAAAAATTTCATTTTCCAGTGCAGTTGGTTACGTTTTTTGAAATAGCTGGTAATTGATAGCTTTTACCTGTTAATCATAAATGCACAGCAAGCAAATGAATTTAAGAGGACTAAACTGGAATAAGTGTTCAGAAATGAAACCCTTGGACTATTTAATACTAAACTTGAAATGTGGATTAAGAAAAACTTTTGTTAATAAAAACTTTCTTTAAAAAAAAAAAAGAAAAATTTTATTTATTTTCTAAAAGACAGGGTTTCACCATGTTGGTCAGGATGGTTTTGAACTCCCGACCTCAGGTGATCCGCCTGCCTTAGCCTCCAAAGTGCTTGGATTTTAGGTGTCAGCCACCACGAAGTTTAAAATCAGCCTGACCAATATAAAGAAATCCCGTCTCTACTAAATTAGCTGCGCTTAGTGGCACATGACTCTCATTCCAGCTACTCAGGAGGCTGAGGCAGAATAGCTTGAACCTAGGAGGCAGAGGTTGCAGTGAGCTGATATTGCACCATTGCACTCCAGCCTGGGCAACAAGAGCAAAACTCCCATCTCAAAAAGAATAAAAAAGAAAAAGAAAAAAAGAGAAACAAAAACAGTGCAGCAATTCCTCACAGAACTAAAAACAGGAGACAGAGGTTGCAGTAAGCCAAGATTCCAACACTGCACTCCCGCCAGGGCAAAAAGTGCACAACTCCATCTCAAAACAAAACAAAATGAATGCAGAAACAGAAAACTAAATGCATGTTGTTATTTATAACAGCTAAATAATAAAAACACATGAACACAAAAAGGAGAGCAACAGACACTGAAGCCTAGTTGAGGGTGGAGGGTGGGAGGAATAAGAGGATCAGAAAACATTCCTGTTCGGGGCTATGCTTAGTACCTCAGTGCAAAATAATCTGCACACAAGACCCCCATGACATAATTTTAGCTGTATAACAAACCCACATGTGTACCCCAAACCAGTAATAATAAAAGCTTATAGAAAAACAAAAATCCTAAGTCGGAGAGAGTGCAGTGGAGGTGAAAGGATTGATTTTTTTCCACAGAAAGTGACCCACGTGGGGCTGTACTCTGACTTATTTCTGTGTGCATGCAGGCAGATGAGATTATGAACAGGATTATAAGCAGGAGGTCTAGAACCCTAGCTTGGTGGAGAACACAGGTTACTGCTGCAGATTCAGTGCCTGGGGGAGGGGATATGACAGGAGACTTGTAGACACACATGTGAGTTTTTGGCAAGAAACACTAGGATCAAAAATGCCGTGGTGAAGTTCCTGAGGGTGGTGCCTAATCCTGAGAGGAGTGTGGACACGTCACTGTCTACTGTGTGTGTTTGTGAGTGGGTGGGAATCCTGTGGTGGCAGCTGCAAGAAAAGAGGGTCTGTCATCAGAGCTCCTCTCTTCTAAGTTTTCAGAACTCTGTCACCCAGAGCGAAGACCTGGAATCACAGGACAATGGGCAGTGTGACAGCCTGTGTACAGGAGAGCAGAGCCTCCCATTCCCAGACAACCACAGTTTGATTCCAGGCCAGGCCTCCGTGACATCTTTTTTCTGGCACCAAATCTGTAGCATTGGCTGAACATCAAGCAATTCTCCAAATTCAACGTATTGTCTAACATTTGAACTCTGACACCACCCAGAGTCAGCACAGACCCTGACTCAGGGCCTGAGGTCGGGAGTTCCAGATCAGCCTGACTAACATGGAGAAACTTGTCTCTACTAAAAACACAAAATTAGCAGGATGTTGATGGCCCATGGCTGTAATTCCAGCTACTCCAGAGGCTAAGGCAGGAGAATGACTTGAACCCGGAAGGCAGAGGTTGTATTTTTAGTAGAGACAGTGTTTCAACATGCTGGCCAGGCTGGCCTAGAACTCCTGACCTCATAATCTGCCCGCCTCGGCCTCCGAAAGTGCTGGGATTATAGGTGTCAGCCACTGTGCCTGCCCAGGAAGGGTTTTTTTTGTTTGTTTTCTGTTTTTGTTTTTGTTTTTTTTTTTCAGAGAGCATCTCGCTCTTTTGCAAGGCGGGAATCCAGTGGCGAGATCTCCACTCACTGGAACCTCAACCTCCTGGATTCATGCGGGTCTTGTACCACAACCTCCCAAGTGGCAGGAATTACAGGCAGGTGGCACCACACCCAGCTAATTTTTTTTTTTTTTGGAGAGATGGGGGGTCTAACCGTGTTCGCCATGTTGATCTTCATCTCCTGACCTTGCAATTCCCCCGCCTTGGCCTCCCAAAGTGCTGCAGCTACAGGTTACAGCCAAAGCGCCTAGCCCAGGAAGGGGTTTTTAACTCTAATAAAGTTCCTGTTTCTGTGTCCTTCCTCTATTACCTGGGGTCAGACAGCACAATCTAAGCCGATCCAGGTTGCTTAGACGAAACTTTTTCCAAATAGGGAAAACACACGATTTTTTGAGAAAAGGAGAGGAAGGAAGAAGGGGCAGGATTGATTTACAGGTTTTTGGTTTTTTTGAGACCGAGTCTCACTCTGTCACCCAGGCGGGAGTGCAATCGCGCGATCTCGGCTCACTGCAACCTCCGCCTCCCAGGTTCAAACGATTCTCCTGCCTCAGCCTCCTGAGTAGCTGGGATTACAGGCAAGTGCCACCGCGACCAGCTAATTTTTGTATTTTTAGTAGAGACGGGGTTTCAACATTTTGGGCAGGCTGGTCTGCAATTCCTGACCTTGTGATCCACCCGCCTCGGCCTCCCAAAGTGCCGGGATTACAGGCGTCAGCCACCGCGCCCGGCCATGATTTACAATTTTTACAACTTATGACCAGGAAGTTGAGTCTCTGAAGACAAACTTAGTTGACCTAACAACTCCTGACCTCACCTAATCCGCCTCCCTCCGCCTCCCAACCAGTCGGGATTACAGGTGTGAGCCCCGCTCCCAGTCGGATGAATTGTTAACAGAACAGAGAAAGTGTGAACCCCACGGACCAAGGCTCTTCCCACTCAGGAACCCGCACCCCACCTCAGGATTCTCCACCGACGTCCCTCCCGTGATCCCGGCACAAAGTGGGAGAGACGCCGCGCTGCCGAAGCAGGGCTACCCAGAGAGGGCTCCGGGTCAGGGCAAGGTCAAGGCGCAGCAGAGACAGGACTCCGCGCCCGGCTGTCCTGTCTCTTTGGTTGAAAGGGGCTGAGGCCTCGTTGGGCAAGAACTCGGGGAGGAGATTGTGCAGCTGACTGCGGGGAGGCCCGAGTCCCGCCACAGCCATTTCAATTTTTCCCGCCACTTGTTCCAACCCAACCCTCTTCTCTCTCGGAATGTCCGACGGCACTCTCACCATTTCTAGGCTTCCAGGGCGTCCTGGCGTCTTAGCTGCGGATCTCCCAAAACCTGCAGGTCACAGGGCGGCGAGGCTGGGCCTCTAGAAGCAGAGGTAACACAGCAGAGAAGACGGACCCGGAGCTGGGGCTGCCGCAAGACAAAGGACGCGGCAAAGCCGGAAGCCGTCCTCTTTGCTCCAGCTACGTTCCTGATTGGACGGTTCCTGGCCCAACGTCCCTGATTGGATAATGTTTAAGCTCCGCCCCCTGAAGCCCTGACTGACAGAAGATGTGATCAGACTCTGCCCTGAGTGAAGAGTAACAGCCTAAGCTTCAGCCTTTTCAGGTGGGGTTTCCTCCCTGAGCTGAGCAGGGTGACCCCAGGACAGGGAAAAATTGTCTCTTCTTTACTCTCTCTCTTTGTACATGTATTTAGTAGGTGAACGGAAGTATTTTACTGTCATGTTAATAAAATTTTTGTTCAAGAGAAAATCAACTTTTACTTTGGTAATAGTGTATTATCAATACTAAACCCGATTTAATAAAACCTTGTAAATGAATTTATTATTCACGTCTCAAGATTTACACATATATTTTATGTTTTATAATTTTTTTTTTTTTTTTTTGAGACGGAGTTTCGCTCTTGTTACCCAGGCTGGAGTGCAATGGCGCGATCTCGGCTCACCGCAACCTCCGCCTCCTGGGTTCAGGCAATTCTCCTGCCTCAGCCTCCTGAGTAGCTGGGATTACAGGCACATGCCACCATGTCCAGCTAGTTTTTTGTATTTTTAG